CCAAGGCATGCCTCGGATGCGTCAAGAAGGTTTTCACGACAAATTCGGAGAGTCTCAGGTTGGTCACTTTCCAATGTGACTTTGAAAATCTCGACATAAAGCTCGAGAATTCGACCACTCTCCAAGAGACGGAAGAAGATACGTCCAATCTCAAAGAGATAGAAGAAAGTGGAATTGAACTCTTCCACATGGAGTAAATTACATGATTTGAGAATCTAGAAAACTTTGATCTTCTCTCAATAGCGAAGATATCGAGCTCACAAATTACAGGATTTGAGAATCCGAAAACTTTGCTACTCTCATAATAGAGAGAATATATGATTCAGAAGATTTCTCTGATAAAGCCATATTGTTTTTCATCACCCCTAAGGAGGAGTTTGGTAACATTTCCATCCACATATAATCCGTGATAATCATCCAAGCAAAATCACATAGAAGACCATCATCAAAAACTATTTTATCTTGGTACTGAAAATAGGCTGTGCCATAATGACATAACGTTACTAGGCTGGAAGGCCCACAAATCAAGTTGGGCCCATCCCTATAGAGACCTAACCTTATTGGGCTATAAAGCCCACACAGCAAGTTGGGCCAAGCCCTTTGTTGGTTACTGTCGAGAGGGAGTTCAGGTTTTTGGAAGAATGGGAGGTTACGGAGGACACCGGTAAGTGGTCGTAGTAGATCCACGGCGGGGAGAATGGCAGGAGGCCAGAATTCATAGCCAAGTCGAATCTCTTACCGGAACAGAGAACTTGACGAGCGAGAGAGGGTTTGGCTAAACCAAAGACGTCAACTTGAGATCTTGGCGAGGGCAAGGGTATTACAGTCGCCGGAGACTGGGGAGGAGGCGAAGTATTGCTTAGATAAGCGTCACTGGTAGATCAATGGTGGAGGGAGATGATAGATCTGTCGGTATTGACGGTGAGCGTTTTCCAGCGATGATAACACAGAAGCAGAAGAGAATCTTTGCCTTTGCTTGGTGGATCCGATAGATCCGGTGGCTCCGGCGGAAGAGGAGGGTGTTTCATCCCCAAGCCTAGCATCACCCGCTGGAGGTAGTAAACAGAGCTCCGGTCAAACCGCAGGGTCTCGCTAGAGGAGGACGAGAGGGCTCAAAAGGATAGTGAAGTCATCATCTTGAGGCCAACAAACAAAACAATTCTTCTCGGAAAGAAGACAGGTCTTCGGGGAGCTAGAGGAGATCCCGAGAAGATGTCAACAATCGAGCCTCAGAACGTTGGGAAGTTGGAGCAAGCCCGACGAAGATCCATTCTCACCGGCTGAGATTTACGAAGCTGCGCCTCAAAGTCTGTGCGTGGAAGTCTCAACTTAAACACTTGAAAGTGCACGACTTCAATACATTTTTATATAACATTCTAACATCAAAAATCTAAATCACCATCTTCATTCTCAATTTTCTCAACTCCCTCAGTTTTTCTTTTTTAAATTCTATGATGTAATTACCAAAATCAAATCCTCCAAAATAATTTTATTCAGTTAATCAAATTAATTATTTCTAACATCATATGTATGATTCAAACTCTATATCTAAGGAAGATAATTTATAGATAAAAAGACAACACAAGTGTGTACAAATGTCAAAATACTAAATTAGTTTTTTGTTTTGTTTTTATAATGAAAGACATTAAAAAATAATTGTATTTTACATATCTATTTACGACAAAGTATTTTAAAAACTAAAAGCGCAAGCTCCCAAAACGGAAACAGAAGCTTCCAACATGTTTTTAAAGGAGTTTTTTTTTGGAAGCGACGTAAAAGCGAGCTTTCGAAAGGTTCAAAGAGATTACGGCTCTAGTTTTAATTCCGAAGCGGAAAGCAGACCTCCGACGAAGCTTCCGTGGTACGTGGGATATAAGAAATATTTTTTGAAGATAATTCAATCAAAAGTGATTTTAAGAAAACAGAAGTTATTGTATAAACAAAGGTTAATTTTTTTGTTTTTTTTTCATATGAATAATTAAAAAGAAGGTAGGATAATTACATCAACCGATCAAAAAATGTGGCCAAAGCCAATAATTATATCGTTAAACTAGGTGCACAAATCAAAGGATCACACACAATCACAACGCCAAAAGACAGGGCCTCATCAACATTGAACTGAGGAGCACGTCCTCATTTCAAAGTCAAAGAGGTCCCGAAGCCAAGTAGGGGAACCCACCGCTACGTAAGATTGTCTTCGATCCTCCATCATCACATTATTGGCAATCCGTCTTGCCCCTTGATTTGAAAAGGAGTCTTCCAAAAATAGCTCCCAAGATCCAACTCCTTGCAAAGCACGAGCAGCTGCAGAGGAATGATACCAGAAGGACGGCCAAGCCGGAAGTCTGGTCACTGCACCAATAAGATCCACAACATCCGACGCAAAGATGATTTTTGTGTATCTTAAACTAGCCATACTCTCCACAGACCACAAAAATCTAAGAAGTTTAGCATCAATGTCACTATCGACATCACTAAAACTTCTTCTACTATGCAACCTCACACTGCCCAAGTCATCTCTTAGCACCCAGGTTGCTCCTCCGGTTCGGTTATGTTTGTTACATGAGGAAGCAAAGTTGCATTTAAGCCAAGAACATGGGAGTTGGTTCCACCTTCTCATATTCTTGTTCCTAGTCTCAAAGTTATTAGATTCCAATTGCATATCAACTA